GTGTGTGTGTGTGTGTGTGTGTGTGTGTGTGTGTGTGTGTGTGTGTGTGTGTGTGTGTGTGTGTGTTTGTTTGTATTTACCTTTTTGTTTCTTTAGTATTTCTGACTAAACCTGTTTTCCACCTTATAACTGAGAATAACAGTCAGGTGTGGAGGAGGACAGCTGTAATCTCTGACTTCAGTTCATCTCAGACCCCTAGTGGAAACTCTTAACCACTTAAGAGTCCTCTGGAMCAGTCTGAACTTTTCWMGAGAKTAAGASTGATTCTTATTTTGATAACTGGCACTTACACTAAAGTCTGAGAGTAGGAGTAAATCTAAGAAATTTTCAGCACTTAAGTCTAAAAATCCACTCTAAGAAGTTTGATAAATACGAGCCCAGATTATTTAGGGTTAGGGACATTCAACACATCAAATGATACCAACTTGCATATACTTGGTATTCAGACATTTCTTTTTCCCGTTTGTTTCTGAAATTAAAGCTTGTCCTGAGAGTTTTGTCTCACCCTGAATATATGTCTTAAGATGTTAAAAATAATCCATGAATTGATTGAAAATAATCAGAAATTTTCAGTCTGTAAAATGAAGTTTAAAGTAAAACCTGTGGAATATTAGAACCCTGACTTGTGTTTGCTTTGACCCCAGAATAAACGTCTCGTTCAGCTCAGAGTGTCTGACGTCGTCACCATCTTTGCCTCTGGTGTGCGGTGTTTCTCCTCTAGCAGCTGCTCGCTCAGGCGGCCCGGGTTCTGTAGCTCTGCCATGGTTCTGTTTGCCTCCAGGCTCTTTGTTCTGGGAGCGGAGCTTCAGATGAGAAGTGTGAGCACTGCGGCTCAGTTTGTGTGTTTCTCTCTCTCTGCTGCAGCTTGGCGCCAGTTGAAGAGCCATGGATCCAGAGCCGAGCAGAACGAGCTCCACCCCGGCATATTCTGCCCCCCGAGGCTGGATGTGCACCGGCCCGACCCAGACCGCCCGGCCTCGTTTCTTCTGCTTTCTGCTCCCTGGAGTCCATGCGGCTGATGTGGGCCCTGCGCAGTTGCCCCCCTCCTCCTCCACCAGTCCTGCTCCTGGACCCGTGCCCCCACCCACCATCCTGCCAGTCATCATCGGCAAGCCAGAGTTTCCAAACACGGGCTGGGAGCGGATCAAGGAGCTCTTCAATTTAAAGTTGGTGTCGTTTCTCTTCAGTCTCTGTGTCAGGGTTCCTGCAGATCCTTAAAACGTCTTAAAAGTCATTGAATTCAGCAATCCAAAAATAAGGCCTTAATTAGCCTTAAAATGTCTTAAATCAATCTTTCCGAAGTCTTAAAAATGTTAACACATTGTAAATAGGATGATTGTAACTCATCTCAAATATTAGAATAATTGGTAAAAATTCATTTTTTTTAATATTCACAAGCAGACATTCCCCTTTGACATCACTTCCTGTTATTTCACATGCAAGTATCTCATATATGTTGATAATGTTGGCTTTCCAAAAATGCATTCACTTTTCTTACAAAAAAATGATGTCACGGGCACTTTAAGGTTTCATCTACAGCAAGTAGGGGTTAAGACCCCACTGTGGGTCCTAAAACTCCAAATGTTGGGTCGTTAGAGGATTTCCTGAAATTAAATTCAGTTTAAAACTGACTAAGAATGTTTCTGCTATAGTTAGACATGGATAAAAACAATTAGTCTATTAGCAATATTTGAATACTTCAACCAAAAATACTTTGATTCACGAGTTTCTGCCAGTTTTTATTTTTTTGTCATTTGTTTATTATGAAATTGGTCTTGAATTTAATTCCACTTGGCATTAAAAAGTCTTAAATTGAACTGGCTTTAAACTGTAGGAACCCTGTGTGTTCTCTTTTGAAAGTTTAGATGTTTGAATAAATGCTTTGGTTCTGCTGGTTTCCTCGTAGAGAGACTTGGAGACGTCCGGAGGAGTTAATCAATATACTGCAGTTGAGTTTTCTGGGCGCGGTCACCGGCTTCATCTACGGCGGCCTGCCGGCTGCTCGCACCTACAGGCAGAGGTACATCCAGGTCAGCCAGGCCGAGTTGTACACGGGCCGCGTGGACGCAGTGGTGAGTCGGTCTCATTCAGCCGGAGCTCAGTGTCTGAGCAGGTGGAGGAGTTCTGGGCAGGGTTTACTCCTGCAGGTCAGAGGGGAAACTGACTGGAAGTTTTGAAGCTGCAGTTTGAGTACAGGGCTGCACTAAAACCTGAGATGGCAGCTTAAAAATGTGATGATGATATGATTTGTGATTAAATAAACAATACTTCAGTATGCAGTGTTGATGTCTTTCAGCTCTGGGTTCAAAGCAACAAAACCCAACTAATGCGTCATTTCTATTCCAACATAACAGTTTTATTTTTAAAAAGTACAACCAGACATGTGATGTATTAGCAGTGAAACAACAAACTGCATGCAATGCAGTTTRTTAATGACTTTAAAGCATCGCCCCCATAAAACATTTCGAATGATCTAAATACTGAAAAACACCTCTTACTGCCAGGTATATGATAAAAATATCCAAAGAAGTCCATCTGATGGGCAAAATATGTGATAAGCTTCATTTATATTTGTCAAATACTTCAATCTTCCGTGTGAGTGACAAAACACATAAATGAGCCAATCATTTATTGCCGTTCATGCAGTTTTTGGCGATATGCCTATTGCACAGGCTGTTATTGTGATGACGATACATTTTAAATATATTGTGCAGCCCTTTTTAGGTTGATCAGTATCAAGTAATAAGTGTCAACGGTAGCAAACAGACTTGAGTGTGAGACCAAACTCCTGTTAGCAAACAGAGACACAAACAGACACAGATCATTTTAGTTAATTAATTAGTTTTATAAATATTCAGTTGATCATGTTGTCAGTATAAACATGAAACCAGACCAGACTGTTGGTCTCTCAGTCCTACAGGTCAAAGCTGTCAAACACACCCGAGCATCATAGATCTCTGTCCATTTTGTTTAGGATTCACATTATAAACAGAAATACTGACAGCAATCTTTAAGCTRAAATGAGAATTAAAAGACAGTAAAGAGTGAAATAATACAAATATCATAGAACTTGTGTTCTGACATGGTTCCTGTTCTCGTAGCGRTCGGCTCATAACGCAGCCCTTCGTGGTTTTATTCGATATGGATGGAGGTGGAGCTGGAGGGTGTGTCTGATCCTCACTTTGTTCAGGTGAGGAAAAATAAAAAGATTTAAATCATTTATTAATTTGCATCAAGTTTAAGAAGAAAACTGATTTGTAATTTTCAGATTGAAATGCAGTTTTATTTTATGTCTGCAGTTCTGTCAACACTGGACTGTCTGTGTACCGAGACAAAGACGCCGTCAGTCATTATGTGGCAAGTGGAGGTGAGCTGTTTGTGTTTTATGGAGAGCCGTTTTATTCAAAATACAATAAATAAATAAATAATATAAAGACATGCTAAAAATGTATTATATTTTGTTTTATTTCATGGGGACATTTATGTATTTGGTGGAATATTTATTAATACTTTATTAATTACAATATTTATTTATTTCATTATTTATTTATTGTATTTTGAATGAAACAGCTCTCCACACAATCTGTCCTACCTTGTGTCCATGTGCATGCGCAGACTGATGTTACCTCACATGTTGCTTACTCA